TTAATTATTTCTTCTTTGGTTTATTCAAGTGAAAATGGTACCAAAATAAGTCGATACGTTACTACACTGAAAATATGGATAATTTACTTAAACTTGACTTGGAAATAGCTATTTTTGTTGTGATGAATAGTATACTTAAAACGTATATGAATGTTTAAGTAAATGTATTGGCATTAGGTAGAAATCCGTTGAAATTTGAATCAATAAAATACGGATGTGGTAACTTAGTAGTTGTAGTGTGCGCCCATTGTCTCGATACAAAATTGAATTCATTGCAATATAAATTACTGCCTTATACACAGTAGAATAGCCACAACATAATATCAAATTGCCTTTGTGCAATGCATAACTACAAAAAAAAATCATAACATCGAATTAATTTAACTACCGTGCTCACAACATACTATTACCCTTCTTTGTTATAATTTTCTAAGGTTATTATCATATGAACTAGAATTTTTAACTTTTTAGTAAAATAAAAAATAATAAAGTAAAACTAAAAAGTAATCTTTGTATGACTTACTCTTTCTTATCTCTTCGCGCAATGGCCTAAGCAGTCGACCAACAGAATAAAAGGAATCCACAAGTTGTAAGTTGCGTATAACGCATTACTGCGGTAACATCCCCCTGCGAAAGGAAATTATTGCTTTTGGTTAAAACCAGCTGGGCTGCGTAACCGCAGTGCGCATCGACGTTACCTTTAGTGTTGCCAAGAACAATAGTTTTGAATATGGAATGTTATCAAAGTAAAAAAATACCTTTTAAGACAGACCCCAATCACACTACAAAGTTGATACAAGACAGCAGATATTATGCAAAATCATCGGGTTGGCTCTGGATTCTCTAGTTACTTAACATATTCGGTTTTAAATGGGTGTGATGAATAACGTTATAGGTGTCCCTCGACAGGGCTTGTGAGCCTTATTATCCTAGGGATTAAGGAATCAGATCGCTAAAATATAAGAGAATAGTCTAAAAATTATTTACTGAGTCAAAATTCGTCGTATCCATCTGAAGGGGAAGCAAATTAATAATACACAGTTACAACCACAATGATAACCCAATAACTAAAAGGTGAAAGCAAAAGTTAACGAGAATGTAACCGTCAATCAATAAATGCTACTAATGGGCCTTTATTTCTTTCCCTTCCGGTCTAGTACAACTTACAAATAGACAAGTGGGTAGCTGACGAGCAAACCAATTGAAATAAAGTACAGTTAAAAATAATTGTAATTTTAAATAACGGCCAACTCACAATATCTTTGTAACTTATAACTGACGTTTTTTCAGATGTTTAATTATTGTACTGAAGACAAGTAGGTACATATTCTTTCGTGAATATGGTCTTTCAAAATACACGAATATTCGGTTGCACTATGTTCCTAAGCACTGGTAGACAGGTGGAAGGAACAGTGAAAATAATACATGTCGAAGAAAAACTAATCGTTACGTGTGTATTGTAATTATAACGACGTTATTTGGCAATAAAACATCAGCATGAAATATTATACTCGTTAAAATACGATTTGCCAAAATGCTTACAAATTGTAAATATTTATCCAGCATTCAACAGGCAAGCCCGTTTCGTCGAATCATGAAATATGTATAATACTTACTGGAATATTATTTCTTATTAAAAAAATAACTATTTACTTTCAGCTTTCGCATTACACAATTAATAAGCATGTTGTAACCATTTCCAGCTTTTTAAACTTTGAATAAATAGTTGAAATATCCACACCGAAATATTTACATTGAAGCAATATTTAAAGCTTCAGAGTGCCAATAACGTTTTATTCTTGCAGCTAATTTTCTCATTACAAACGACGCGCTTAAATCCTACAAAGTAATTTAGCGATTTTATTATGAAAGTACAAATTGAAACAAGCTACCATTTTGAATAAACAAAAGCTTCCAAATTGGCGTTACTTCGTCATTGTAAGTGTTCTTATTAATGAAGGTATTTCGCGTACCAATAGTAATGTCTTATTGTGGTAAACGCTTTGTTTGAAAAATATTCATTTATCCTAAAATATTACATTGTTAATAAATCTATGAGAATATTTCAATCATATTTGTACTGAAACTGGAAACAATTTTAAATGTTAATTGGTTTTAATGTTAGATGTTGGAGATAATTTAAATTGTGCTTACAAGTTACAAAGTAGCTTGTAATTATTGTTCTTGATAATTGTGGTTGAAAAGATCTCCGATACAAAAAGTAGTAATTATTTTCAATTCGTATTAGATTAAGTACTTGTACCATAACTAGAAGTTATCTTATTGGATCGTATTCTTGATGAACTTAAGACATTGCCCAATTATTAACATTTTAAGTCATACATTTCAGCACTAATAAATGAATAAAATGAACATAAAATAATGTATGAGGAGGTTCTTTTATCTGAATTACTCATACATAATATAATTTTCTAACAGGATTAAGTCTTAACAGAATCATCTACACGGTACAGGTTCATGGTTTCATGATCGTGAGAGCTTTTTGAAATGATGTGGCGGTAATTTCAGCAAAAATCTAGCTTTTAAGATAACTAGGGCTGGCAAGTAATATGAAAAATTTAAAGTAAAAAATTAATAATTTATGTAATAATCTTTGGTAAATATTGTTCTTTGGTAAACAATTAATCGATTCGCATTTTGCTTGCATCACTGACTGTCTAATTAAGTAAAGATCAATAATGTTGTGGTTGCCTAAAACGCAATAATACTATTAAGAGTTGAAATATTAATTAGCTAATATTTGTTTGAAAATAATAGATGCAATTTCCCTACCTCTAAGTTCTCTACATGGCTCATGTATTTTCAGACTAGATACCGTTTATTGTTTTAAACTTTTATGGTCACTATCATAATTATTACCTACTACTGACGGGATTGCTACCATGTACCTTAATTTTTTTTAAGGTACATGGTAGCAATCCCGTCAGTAGTAATAATTAGATACTGTTTTATAATAATAATCAACGATTATTGGAAAAATATACATACTTACCTTAACAAAATAGTATTCCAAAATCAGCATCTGTAGCAGCCCTGGGTCACGTAGCATCCTTTTGTTCGTGGTTACTTCTCACCTACTTAGGGCTCCGGGCTAGGGCGCGCCGGGGGCTTGTTACCTCAGATTGAAGGCTCGCGGTCGATGGCCGCGGATCCTGCATAAAAAACTGGAATGCCGCTCCTACCTATTTGCCTATACAGGCGAATGAGCTTCGGTACGCCAAGATAGGAATTTTAATCATACGTCTCGTATTTTCTTGTGAATTTAAATTTAATTGGGAATTTTAAATGATGCACTCATATGATGGTCGTGGATTGGTTGTGCCTAATTAATATGCGATTTTTATTATGGTGTGGATGTGGCTGTTATGAAACATTTTTCAAGAATGAAATTGATCTTATAAGACATGTACTGAGATTCTATTACTTATTGAATACTTAAAAACAAAGCATACGGTGTTTTTTGGTTCTTTATTTTAGTGACCAGGAAGGTGCAATAAAGAAACTGCGGTTTTAGCCGTTTCAATTAAACAAGTTTAAGTATGTTACAGTGCAAAAAGGTGATTTACTTCATATTATCATTATCTAATGGCTACAATTACGATTTTGACGATTTCTCTTGTGATTTAAAGTGAAAATAAAGAGGTGAATAAAAATTAATTATGGGTTTGCTTTGCTGCCATCTGAATAGTACGAATCTACATCTACTTATGGTTTAGGAATTCGTAGACTACATATCTACCTCAAATTAATGCGAATCGAATGCTCTAAAATAAGTATTACAAAAGGCGCAAATACATCAATCAAGTGTAAAAAATATGTGTATAGGATATTTTACACCAACCTCGTTCTACCCTACTTACAGATCAAGGCTAATGATCACCGCTCCGATTCATAGAGTCGATAGTGGATTACGGCTTGGAATGCCATTTGCTCATAAAAACCAGACATTACCCCGTAGCGGTATGCTTTAAAATTACAAGACTACAGTATCCTTTGGCTTTTCCCACTAACTCTATCGTGTTCAGCATCGGAATCGATTTTTAAAAGGCCTAAAACGTGTAGAAGTGAATCGTATGGTAAGTTAGTGGCAATCATCTTTCGTAGTCAGTCAGATTTCGACGAATAAAAGGTAAGTGACAAACAAGTGCAGATGAAGTGAAACACTGGCACCTTCGGTTTCTGTGATAAGTGCTTTTTTGCAAAAAATACAGTTGTGCTGTGGAATGTACAAAATACAAATTCGTCAGTTATGGACACCTGTACATTTTGATGATGCTTGTATTTTCAGTTATATTTTTATGTAATAAGAATCAAGAATTTGAAAGATTACTTAATTGAAATCAAAATAATAAGTATGAAGATGTTATGGCCAATTACATAATTTACCACTCATTACACACATTATGGTTTGTAATAAAAGCTTCTAAAACAAATCTGATTGAGTAGGTATATGAAATAATGTTATTAGTGTGCTAATATAACTTTTAATAAGTGTGTGTGATATGTATTTGACATGCTGTGAATTTACTAGTTCTAATTGTTTTACAAAATAAGGATAAACTAACTGTATTGAATTTTATTACCTTCATATAATTTTGAACAAAAACAAAAATATATATTAATGTTTCACACAGTGCAATGATTTTCAAGATTTTGATTTCGATCCTGTATGAATTATTTGTGTGTGTGTTATTATGTGAATGATAAATTCAATGCCATTGTTTCATTATCAAATACATTTAACATTTTGTATGAATTATTGTAAACAGTGAGTAATTTTATGCTATTTTTTCCCTCTGTGAGTAACGAGATTGTGTATTATTCAAAGAACTAATATAGTATTAATTGGTTTATTTAATAATTAATTTGTTATGATTGTGTATGTTCATTTATTGGTGTTTGATCTCATTTTAAGGAGAGGAATCAAATTATAAAAAGTTGATTTATATTCATTTCACGTTTTATTTTTGATTTATCACTTTTTGACACAGTCAATTTTGTAAATTTTTACAATAAATATTTTTTAATATGACTAAATTACAAAATATACAACGATAGGACACTAAAGTATAAAAACTAGCCTTAAACTACATTTATCACAGATAGTGGCAATGTTGCCATGATAAGTCATTTTATAGTAACCGGCAAGCTTTGCCTCAACACAGCCTGGGTAGGCTCAACAAACATCTCTATCTCTACACATCAAATCAATTCTAATATTTTATTTGCATACATTATCAAAGTTTATATCAAAACAATGATCAATTAAAACTGGTAAAATATGGAATTTAATACAAGACCTAAGTTAACGGCCACGTGAGACTATCTTATCAGCTAACTTTATTTACACTACTACACTACAGTTTAAAAAAATATTTACAATACATACGTTAGCAGACTAGCCATCACATTTTAAACAGTCATGTTACACATCCTATGGTTCTTATCACTTCACTGTTCACTTGTGCACTCACACATGGACGGACATAGTACGTGGGGACGCTCGCGGTGGGACCTGGTGGGGCCCGTGTGACGGATGAGGGGGCAGCACGGGGTGGGCGCCATGCACAGGGGGAGGGGGCAACGCTCCCAAGTGGCTCCTCGGGTGATGGTGCCTGTGCATCGCCACACCTCCCCCTGGACTAGGCACACCTCTTATCCTCTGGTTAGCAGGCACGTCCGGCAACGCGAACCGCAACTTCTCCCAAAACATCTTATCTCCAGTATGAAGATACGTGTTAGTTTTCAAATACAGTCTTATATCTTGGTCGAGATCCTTCTGAGGCACGTCACCGAGCAACACCACTATAAGCCTTCGTCTACGGTCTCTCAAAACACGATGGTGGGCAGATTTAAACTCGAAGCGACACCATTCGGATCTTATGAAGTTTTCACTGAGTACCATTATGGTGCGACGTGATGATTCTACAGCTTGCGCTATGTTATCGGCCACATACCCGCCCACGGGTAGATCTCTATAATGAAGGCACAGCTTGTACGAAGGATCGCCTCCTTCTAATACCGGCGCTAACTCTTCAGTTACCCAGGCTTCGTCTTTTGAACTATAACTCACAAACGCGTCAAACATTTTTTCACGGTCTTCTCGGTCTATGTCACTCGTTCGATAGAACAATCTCACCCCGAACTTAGAATGGAACCACACTCGCATTTCTTGTCTGAATATAAACACGACCATGCTCACAAATGACACCACTAAAAATGCAACGAGAGTCGCCACAAGTAGTGGTATGTAATCTTGCACATCTTCGTTAGTTATTATTGTTTTTGTGGCTGTCAGATTGCCATTTATGCTGTTATTTATACTTGGAAGTCCCGTACAGATACTGCCATTTTCATAAATGATATTGAATCCAGACTCTGGTTTGTTGTAAATGCTATCATCGTAGTTCATTAAGTCTGTGTGATTATCCTTTGAATAAATGCATTTTATGTTTGATAAATCTGTTATCGAACTCACTCGCTTTGTCCATTCACGGAACATTTCAGTGTATTCACAGTCACATGACCACGGGTTAAATGAAAGTGTTATTTCTGTTATCGCCGGATTGATTTGCCACACAGTCAGAGTAACCAGTCTATTGTGATGCAAATGTAATAATTTTAATCGTGACATGTGATTGAACATTTCTTTTCCAATATGTTTTATTTTGTTGTTGTTAATGTACAGTTCCCGCAAATTGTCCAAGCCGCCAAATTCCTGGCCTTCTATTGTTGTCAAGCTATTGTGATCTAGATGGAGCACTTCAAGTTCTCTCAGGCCATTAAATGTTCGGTTGTGAATGGTTTCGATGTTTGATGAGTTCAAAAATAGGATCTTTAGCCTCTTTCTTCCGATAAAAGCGTGACTTGGAAGCATTTTAATGTCGTTACCGTCGAGATACAGTTGCGTGGCCTCCATCGGTATTCTTTCGGGCAGCGTTTTCACATACCCGGCGTTTGAGCACTCCACAACATTAGCCGACCATGATTGATCGTGATAACATGTGCAATTATTCGGACAACTCATTTCACAGTCACAAGCATCAAAATCGCAACAGTGGCACAGTGCAAAACAATGAAATTCGTATTTACACAAAAACTGATGAGGCGCGGCGTCGACCAAAGCAACATGTGAGTTTCCACGATTGTAAAGCAATTTGCAGTATATGCTATCCAAATCCATTAACTTTGGCTGGGTTCTTGCCCTGTTTCCAGTGTTTATTTTTTGCAACCATTCCATTGTACAATCGCATTCTAATGGGTTTCCGCCTATGAAGAACTCTGGCACTGATTTATCTTGTGGCACGGCAGATATTCGTAGCGAGTTTGGATCTAAATTCGTTATTTTATTGCCGTACAAATCCACTCTTGTTAAATTTGGTTTCTTGAAAAATGTGTATGATTGCACTTTAGAAATCAAATTGTCATTTAAATATAACATTTCCACTGAGTTAGGGATTGCGCTGCCAGTTATTTCCGTTAATCTGTTAGAGCTGGCGTCGAATGTGCTAAGGGATAGGCGTGATTCAATCTCGAAATAATTTCCAAGTTCGGCAATTCTATTTGCATGAATATCTAGCCACTGCAGTCCAGTTGGTATCATCGCATAGTCGAATGATTCCAATTGATTGTCGGAAATATTCAACCACACGAGATTATGTAAGTTGACGAAAAGTCCTCTGATATCTTTTAAAGAATTTCCATCGAGTCTAATTGCTTGCAAATTGACGTTTGCGTCGAAGGCGCCGCTTTCAATTCTCTGAATTTTGTTTCTTGATAAGTTTAATATTTTCAAAGAAGTCATCCGGTCGAAAACGCCTTTGGTTATGTTACCGATGTTGTTCTCCGTCAAGCGCAATCCATACATTTGCTGCATTGTCATAAATGATGCGTTTTCTATACTGATTATCAAGTTTTCACCCAAGTCAAGAGTTTTAAGTTGAGGTATTTCTTTCAAAGCGGTCGGGACCTCATCAAGTCGGTTTCCATTAATATGCAAGTCTTGTAACGATGAGCAATTGCGCAAGGCATGTGGGTGTATTTTAGAAATGCGGTTGCTATCTATTGACAACACTGACAATGCCGGCAGGCCGGTAAATGCATAACTCTCAATATTTGTCAGTCTATTGTTCGATAAAATTAATGTGTGCAAATTGCTTAGCGAGCTGAATACATTTTCTGGAATATGCTCTATGAAATTTTCCTGCATTTTCAATATTTGCAAGTTGTGTAAATCTCTAAATAAAGCAATTTCCATTTTTGATACTCTATTGTGTGAAAAGTCAAGGTAAACCAGTCGTTTCAATCCAGAAAACGTGGAGGTGTTAATCCAGTCTGAGGTCAACTCGTTGTACGATAAGTCCAAAACAAGTAACTGGTACAGGTCACTGAATAGTCCTGGTGCCAAGACTGTTATTGTATTGTTGTTCAAGTATATCTCTTTTAATTCTTTAGTATCACTAAAAAGTTCTGGAGGCAAGCTCGTCAGCTGATTATCTGAAAACTTCACTGTCGTCAATGAAATTAACCCTTCTAGCGCTTTGTCTGCAATAGAGTTCATTCCATTACTTTGTAGGTAAAGTTTCTTTAACCGCCTAAGACCAGATAAGAGACTAGGAGGCAGAGTGTCAATAATATTTCGTGACAGGTCCAATATAGTCAAGTTATCTCCGCATTTCTCGGTCGGGTGTCGATGAGCAGTTGAGAACTGAAAATGACTAATATCTCGCATTCGGTTTCCCGTCATATTCAGATATTCTAAGTTCCTCAATGTGCAAAGTGCTCCTTCGGGAAACAATAACATATTGTTTTCACTGAGATCTAGTCTCTCAAGATTTTGAACATCTCTCGAGAATGCCGTGGGTGTTATTTCGAGTGACATAGTAGACCATTCGGTATTGTGAGTTTTAATGGTTAAATTTCTAAGTTCACGCAGACCGGTAAATGCGCCATCAGATAGGTTTCCGATCTTGCAATATTCTATTGTAAGCTCTCGCAGCTCAATCAACTGTCGGAAGCTGCCGGGGGCTAGTGAGCTTTGGAACAAAAGTGCATCGCTGCACTCGAGGTGTAACCGCACTGTTAGATGTGGTTGTATTGCACTAAAGTTTGTGTTTTCTAATTCACTGTTAATAGTCCTCAGTCTGCACTGTAACGCGACTCCTGAGCCGTCGTCGTCTGTCGTCCACCGGCACTCGTCAGGTGCTTGGTAGCGCGCTCCTGTGGTGGCCGATAGAGAAGCGCTCCACGCTGTCAGAGCAGCGCTAATCACCAGCAGCGCCCGTGTAACACACGCCGGACACATTGTTTTGGTTTCACTAACTTCACTTTACATAGTTCAATTCCTCATCAGCTGGCACTGAAATCGCACACGAACATCGCGTCAAACGCGCACATTAGTCCATTCCGCTTATGCTCTAAGCCTCCGTATATCACTTGCCGAACCGGCCACTTAACTCGTTTCTCGCGCGAGCACTAATTGGACGGGATCGTACACGTCGCAACACGACAGTGGAGAACTTAACACGCGCGCCCGCGCCGAGGTCTGGGGTGGAACTGACTCCGTCCGCGTCGAACCTGCGCTGCGCTCGCGCACAAGGCCGCGCCGGTTCACGCGTTCCAACAGGTAAAGTTAAGCTCGGAGATAAAACGCAGTAAGCGCCGGTAATGTGGCCCTATGTTCCGCTTTATCCGTTTTGCGGTACAGCCTGTCAGAAAAATACACTTTACGCACACAAGCGCGGGCTGCACACAACACTACGGAATGAAACCGCTTTTTGTAGAGCTGGATCGAGCTTTCTTGTGGTATGTGCGAGCGGGACAGATGGATGGTGCGGGGTAAGAAGCTCTCGGCGCGTAGTGGGGGCTCCAGGCAGCTGGCCAGGTAGTGCGCAGGCGCATTGCCACAGTCACTGCTTGTTAACACTCCCGTTGATAGAATTGTATTGCGGACATTTGACGATTGTTGACATTTTGTTTACTCACTATCGTTAATGAAATGAATGGAATTTATTACTGAGAACCTACTCACTTGGTTCGATTGTGACTTCTTTAGAATTTATTGCGATACGTTAATGATGCTTGCCACCTGGAGTGGGTAATGGGTATTCGAAAAGGTTGTATACGACTATTGCACATATCAAGCCAAATCAACATAAATATTAGCATTAACTTGATATACCAAAATAAATAAATAATATTTGATGTAAATGATAAAAGTAAAAATATTGTACAGAAGTTTATTTTATACCATTATAAAACTTAAAAAATTTATTGGTACTTTTACCTACATATTTATTTGCTGCTGCAAAATGTAAGTATTTTATTTTTCATTATTTTACTGCTGCTATCTTTTTATATTGAAATTGATATAAACAATTTGTTGTATAGTACAGCAATATTGTACAACATTAAATACCATAAGTAAATAATATGTTAGCAGAGTTCAGTTTTTTATATATTAATTATTATTAAATAATGCTCTATAGAATTAACTGAAAATAAATAATAACACTAGTACGAAAATATACATTTTCGGCATAATCATTCGAAGATTATTATGTTAAGTAACACGNAATAATAATAATTGTGAGTTCAAAGTACCTATCGGCTGATGTGGTTTGGCTAAATGAAACTTTAGGCGTACCGAGGGGCACCCGATCACGCGAAGGCGCTTAGTTTTATACATTTCCTAATACAATATTGGAATTCTATAAAATTCCTAGGAAAAGTATACATTTCCTAGGATATGAGCGTATTAAAAAATCTCTGAAGCAATATTTTAAACATTTCCTAAATAGCTTCGGAATTGTATACATTTCCTAGGAATAGTATACAATTCCTAGAATTCATACATTTCCTGTAACATATATATTAATTATTATTAAATAATGCTCTACAGGGTGTTAGGTAAATGGGTATATGAGCCGACACTTGCCCATGTTAACATGGTCATATAAATGGTATGGTGAAGTCAGAAATTTGATATCATCATTTTAATTTTTTTAATTTTCATACAAAATATTTTTTTTTAAATCCGATTTGTATGAAAATTAAAATAATTAAAATGAAGATATCAATTTTCTGACTTCACCATACCATTTATATGACCATGTTAACATGGGCTAGTGTCGGCTCATATACCCATTTACCTAACACCCTGTATAGAATTAACTGAAAATAAATAATAACACTAGTACGAAAATATACATTTTCGGCATAATCATTCGAAGATTATTATGTTAAGTAACACGAAATTTTTAAAACATTCCCCGTGGCAATCTTTAAAAAAGAAATCTAAAACTATAATTTAATATTCGCGTTTCTCCTCTTTGCACATGCGATCCGACCAAATTGGACTTTCTGGAGAACTTACTGCTTAATTTGATTTTATTTTACTTAAACGTTTTTGATATAATTTCCCACCATTCGTAGCCAGACCTCTCATCAAATTAAACATCTGCACATTATGCATTTTGTGTAGCCGCCAATTTGTTGAGCACCGTTTGATTTAACAAATTGCAGTAGAGTTTAGATTGCATTCTTCTTGATTTATAACAGCTGAGACGTTCTTAGATTCATTCCTGTTATTATGGGCTGTTTCGGATTTTTTTCAATTCCATAACCGACATCATTTCTAAAGTGAATATTTTGGAGGCGTGCAACTGTGCCTTTTGTGTCCGACGGTTTATAAATTGCCCTCGCTCTATTTATTAGGGTTTCGTATTTCTCACCTGATTTCTGCAAAAAATGAAGTACGTGCCACGAAACAAAGAAAGTTATCTTTACCTGCACTCGGTCTGCTTTTATACAATATGTTCTAATTGATGCTTGGATTAACATTTTTCGGTGTGGTTTTTTTGGGTGACGTTTTAGATGTAATTGTGGAATGATTTAATGTCAAGTATCCTCAAAAAATTATCTTGAACCAAAAATTTGCAAAGTATACCAACTCTTGCTTATTATTTCTGTTTTGATTGCGCTATAAAATGGAAGTTATTCCTAAACAAATTATTTTTATACAATATCTCGTACTATATTTTATGAGATACAAAGGTCAAGATAAATAAAGTAGCTAGGCAATGTAGCCCTTGCATTGTGCATAAAATTTTATAAGTGCAATAAAATGATACTTCACTAAACGAATAAACATAAAATTGACTTTGTTACGAAGTAACTAATGTGAACGTATTGCTTCGAGAAAATCGTGTTATTTTCTCGTAGCATTTCTTGGGGTTGTTCGTTTAGAAACGTCGATTTTAAGTGGGAATGAATAGTTGACTCAATATGGAGCAGTAATAAATGGTCTAGATCATAATTTTGTTTGGTGTCGAGATGATAGGAGGACGGTTGGCGCGGCGGTCGCGCGGAGCTATTTATGCGAGGTGTTGCCGGCTCGATCCCGAGGCGCCTGCTATATCTCAATTGCAATAAATTATCTCCTTTGACACGCGAGCAGCGGAAAATTTGCAATCGCACAACTACGGACCGAACCATTCGCGTCCCTCCTCCTTTATGTAAACAGCGCAAATGGCTTTGTAATGGGAATCGCGTCCGTCCCACTATGACACCGGCTCAATATTTCAAACCGGGTCCCACGGGTCGTTTGTCCACATCGCGCCTAGGACCGTCCCGTACAAAGGGCCAGCGGGAGATCTCTCCTTCGACTTTTTGTCGTAAGTGGCGAGGCGTTTCTTGTCCAGCTCCTATAAAAGAATAGATTGCCGCTAAATCGCTGCTTATTGTGGCGCTATTTAATTCGTATTTCGAGGGCTATCCGACCGTTATAACAAAATGCTCGTATTCAATTTACGGTGCTTCATGTCGACACGCAACTGACTGGGGTGTTGGATTGTTGCGTGGGTACATGTGTTTGATGTGGGTCAGTTGCCTTTATGATTCATGGAAGAACATTCGAAACTAAATTGAACAGAAACGTTATTGTTTCGCATCCGCCTCTTAAAAGTTGCGTGATAACACTGTTTAATAGCTTTTCCGTTTCCAAAGTTTAAAAAAAAGATAAGGAATGGAAACGATACTCGAATAAACTAATATTCCATGCAGACATCGGAACCAATTCAAATTGGTATCCCAAAGTAATACCGGTGACGATCCTCCCAGTAATGCGTACACGTTCGATTTTAATTCGTTTTATCGGACGGCTCCATCGGCGCGTAAAACCGTTCCGTTGATTTCCATTATATTATTAATTTTTGTAATTTCATTGCCTAATCTCCGGCGACAGGCCCGATACCGGCGCGACACTTATCTCGGTGTCGGCGGACACATATAATCCATTAAGTCGTCATTTCCACTCCGCTGATCATTCCTCAACCACGCGTCACCCGCCCCCGGACCGACGTATGCCGTATTGTTCGCTACTGCTTTATCTGTTCTGAAGTCCTCTCGATAAACCCCACCAAACACATTTTACACCTTAAAACAATACACCCAATGCTCACTACCCAACGCGGTCACCCCACCAAAGGTTTATCCTTGTCTACTAATGGACTAGTTTGTTATCTAATCGGGTACACGGCGGACCTATTAATAATTTCCCACATAATTTTCTAATTAACGTCCTGTCCGAGCGGGCGGAGCCTCTGGGCACACGAAAACGGAAATGATGGGGATCGGGGCCAAATACTATGTAATAAATTATTTGCATACGACTTCCAAATCGCCATTAACTTAATACGTTTCGTTTTTGTTTCAGGTAATCAACGTTTCTAATTTAAGGCTGAAGGTAAACAAAAACTTTAATTATAGTCGATTACGAAAATATATACGCAGGTTAGTGCAACGAAGCATTCTTGTAATCGTATTAGCGAAGTGCGTAATGCGGAGTGCAAACATTAGTGTTATGTTACTGAGTTAACCCTTGACAGGTTAAAGTGTAGCGTGTAAATTGGAGAGATTTTACACGTGAACAGAGGCCTTAGTAGTGCGTCAGATCGCGACACGGGCAATTTGGCGCGAGAGGCAGCTCGGGGTTTATTTGTTCGCCGCGGCACCTGGCGATTCAGGACCCGCTGGGTGTTGGACTAGAGAAGCAGTTGAGTCGCCACTGCCGTTTCAATCGTTTGAAAATGCTTATGTGTATGGCGTATGCGTATTATTGTTTCAAAAGCATAAATAAGTTTGTATGTATCTACGTTTTTACCTCATGTAGAGGCACATGCTATTACTCATATGGGTCGGTCGTCATTGTCAAGTAGAGTCCTCGAACCGTGAATAATCGGTCTGCATATTTACTTAGAAGTCACGCCCATAAGTGTATCTTCAAATTCAATTTCGGTGACACATTGCTAGTTATAACTAGTATAGAACTCTATATGCTCCTTAACCGCTTATACAACTGCCATCCCTGATTCCACTGATATGATTTATGTGGCATCAATACTGTCATTTCACTGTTCCGAAGCAGTGGTAGTATTAATGTAAAAATATAAAGGAACTTGTATAAGTGCTTTTTAAAAACCAACTTATTAAAATAAAATGTTTATTGTATTAATTTCATACCAGCAACTTTCTCCCCTTAACCTTAAAAAACTAAACAACCAACACTAC